TTAAAAAATAAAGCTATATACATGGATGCTCTTCTCCACTATTTAGCTAAACGAGAGGAGGTAGAAGAGGTGCTGGAGGATGATTAAACATTGCACACTTTATTGTGGTTATTATTTCTGTGCCTGAGGCAAAACAAATTATTTATTTATTGCATTTATAACCTGCTCACTCTTGGTAAAACCAGCCTGCAGCAATTTAATGTTTCATTTTTGGGAGATTATGTGTTAACCAGGGAATCTGTAATCATTGCCTGAATTATGGACAAAATACATCAGAGATATGCACGTTCATCAAGACTTCCTAGAGGTATAGAAGTTGACTGGGAATTTATAGTTCTCGACTTACGAGCATAACTGAGGCGGCACGACGTGCTTGTTAAGTGAGGTGCACCTGATTTTGCGATCCTTTTGGCCACAATTAAGTAAATCACACGGCTGTTAAGCCAATCCAGCTTCCCCACTGATGTTGCTTGTCGGAAGCTCCCTGGAAAGGTCACAAATGGAGATCAAGTGACCCTAGGAGACTGCAATGGTACTAAATGCTGCAACAGTTAAACGAGGACCAGTCTCAAATCACTTTTTTTTCAATGCCATCATAACTTTGAATGGCTTTTAAATGAATGTACCATAAGTCGAGAACTACCTGTAAGCATATTTATCTTTTCTGTGCACAATATATGTCATTCCCTATGAAAGCCAAACGGAATGTACAGAATGTGCAGAGCTGTTAGTTGGACTATGTGCGTTGGCCATTTAGTCAATATTACGCCTACTCTAAAATTTCTAATTAAAAAGCCTTAGGGGGGGGAGCTTACACAATTTTGCAAGAAATAGTAAGCTGAAAGTTGAGAGATATGTACCTGTACACGCACCTCACATGAGGTCTGCCCGAACTCACTGTATAAATGAGGCATAATATCCGCCCCTCAGTGTAACTGTGGGATCTCATGTCAAACTGTAGATCAGGGGTCGCCAACCCCAGTCCATGGACCAGCACTGGTCCACGACCCACCAGGAACCAGGCTATGCAAGTGAGCAAAGCCCCATCCATGCAGGAGCACGATCCAGCCAACATGAGAAACCACACACACACCAGTCCACAGAAAAACCAACCTCCCATAGGCACCCGAAATCTTAGGGACTACTGCTGTAGATCACATTGTTACTGGCTGTAAGCTGAGGGCATATACTGGTCCAGTATCTGATTTTTTTTTCATATAAACGATGCTGCGCTTCAATGGTTAGATGGCCTAGACCAGTGATGGCGAAACTTTTAGAGACCAAGTGCCCCAAAACAGCCCCCCACCCGTCCCTGCTCCGCCCTGCCCGCTGGGCCACCCACCACCTCCATGGCTTGCCACAGATCACCCAGGCAGCCTAGCAGTGTCATGGTGGCCACACTCTTTACCTGTGCCCCACAGCATCATCTGCGTGCAATGGGGTGTAAGGGCGGAGTCTTGTCCCGCTGTCCGGCTACCATGTCCTTGGTTGCGCTGCTTTGTGCGGGCCATGCCCGGGGGTGACTCTCCTCCGGGGTGGCTGCTGGTGAGGAGGGGCCATGGGAGAAGGCAGGGCTGGGGCAACGGTGCGTGTGCCCACAGAGAGGGCTCCAAGTGCCACCTCTGGCATGCGTGCCAGAGGTTCATCACCACTGGCCTAGACATTGGTATTTGAACATAGATACTTTTAATATTTATATTTTATTGTGTTTATTAATCTAGGAGAAATCTAGCTAGTCCATGCCGTACACTAAATAAAATAAATAAATAAATATGAGATATATTGCCCATAATTTCTTAACTATTCCTCAACATTTTCCCTTGTCTCCCTCCTAAACATTTGCCAAATAGTCTTGTGAACCACTTATGGATTAGCAGTGTTCCAATATCTCAGGGGCTGCCACAAAGAAGAAGGGGGTCAACCTATTCTCCAAAGCGTTTGAAGACAGGACAAGAAGCAACGGATGGAAACTAATCAAGGAGAGAAGCAACCTAGAACTAAGGAGGAATTTCCTGACAGAACAATCAATCAGTGGAACTATTTGCCTCCAGAAGTTGTGGGTGCTCCAACACTGGAAGTTTTTAAGAACAGATTGGACAACTACATGTCTGAAATGGTATAGGGTTTCCTGTCTGAGCAGGGGGTTGGGCTAGAAGACCTTTAAGGTCTCTTCAAACTCTGTTATTCTGTTATCTGCTTTCTATGCCTACAAGGGGTCTTCTGTGACTCCCACATTCCCAAGTAAATTATTGTCACAATTTTGTCCTTATGATTGTCTTATTTAATTTGCACATCTGTTGAACAGGTTTCTTATTCAGGAAAGATCAGTTCCTTTGCCACAACCCTTGGGTGTTTAATAGTTAAAGAGGTAGATGGGTGCATATCCATATGAATCAATGTTCATGGATTGTAAAGCATCAACTCATGCTTAACCAGCCATGTTCATGCACTGCAGCTGATTCTGAATCAATGATAACTTCATTGATCATTGAATTATGTTAAATGAATAAAAGTCACTATGGTTACAGAATAAACAGACAATTAGGAGGCAGGATGGAGTTTTCAAAAATTAGGGACTTCAAAATATGGTCATCAAAATATGAGCATTAAAAAAAAAGAATCACTGCTTTGACATGTGAAATGTTGGATGAAATAGTTACAAAAAATACAGGTAGTCCTCAATTTACAACCATTCAGTTAAGCGACTACTCAAAGTTACAATGGTGCTGAAAAAAGTGACTTATGACTGTTGAAACATCCTCATTGTGTGACCAAAATTCAGTTTTTGGCAGCTGGCATGTATTTATGATGCTTGCAGGGTCATGTCATCACCATGTATGACCTTCCTGACAAGCAAAGTCAATGGGAGAAGATGGATTTGCTTAATGACCACAACATTCACTTAACAACTTGCTTAGCAACAGCAATTCTGGTCCCAATTGTGATCATAAATCAAAGACTATTTGCACTAATGTTCATTTGTACATCATCGTCCCTTATGTGACTTTAATTCCCATAATCCCCAGTGGATGCAATTGGAAAAGAATCATCTGCGCTCTTCTCTGTCACCCACTTTGCTGGAAAGCACTTCCAGAGACTTTTTTTTCTTTCTGAAAAAGAGTCCCCCCCCCAAAACTAGTATTCCAGCTTGATAGATCCTTTGGATCTGTTGCTACAGTAACGGGGGAAACAGGAGAATTTTTTAAAAAGAGAACTAATCTGATTCAAACAATGCAGCAGCGCACAAGCAGATTCCTGATTGCTTCTGTTTGCTCTAGTCTAAAGCCACTGGTTCTCTGTACCTCTGAATGTCTAATCCCTGGGCTGCCCATCATTACAGTAACACTACATTTTTATTTTTAAAAGGAACCTTCCACCACAATGTCTCTTCCCTGAGCCCTAGAAGCAATTTTGTAGAACTGTGAGCATGTACAGAGTGGGGGGGGAGGTTTCCTCCCCATTTTGCCGCAAAACCAGGAAGTCCTAGCCTATAATTTCTCCTAAAAAGATTTCTTTCTTATGCTTTGTTGTTTGCATTTTGCTCAAGACGATTCAACGGCAGGGAGTTCTTTGCCCTCTTGCAAATGGCAGTCCTGCAAAGAATGTAGAGATTTCTAAATGCATGAAAGTGCATTGACCTATTCTATATAAACGCATGTGCTTTGGGGTGTCCATCCTTTTTCTCCTCCCTTGAAAAATATTTTCTTTTCATTCCCCCCTCCCCATTGCAGGTTTTTTTTTCTGGTTTGAAAACCTCTTATTCTGGGAAATCCGTGGAAGACAAATTCTAGCCAGCAGTTAAAATTAAAATCAACTCCATACCCCCGTTCCTTGTACACCTCACCACCCACATTTCACTCATGAACGCGGCTCCCTGATGGTCACTATGGTGATCGGTAGCAAGGGGGTACACCAAGCTATTCACACAACTCCCCTGTCAAATTGCAAAGAGGGTGGAACAATTTTGGTTGCCATCCTGCTCCAGGAAATGGGGGAAGGGGTGTTAAAAAGCCATCTCCTCTTCTCTCTACTCGGTTTTTAGAGGTTTTGGGAATGTGTTTGTGGAACTAAGCAGAGAAAGAAAACTTGCAAACAGTGACCGCTGCATCCTTCTGCTCTGCACGGTGCATCGCTCATGAATGTGCAGCCAAAATGCATATCAGGTGTGCAAAAGAGACATAAGATAAGATAAGATAAGATAACCTTTATTGTCATTTTTATACTGTGGGCACAATTGCACACATCAAAAATGAAATTTAGTTGCCCGCTCTCAAAGTGAAACACATACATGACACACACCTAATACATACTATGAACAACATATGTATAGACCCACATCCCTACATATACGTAACTTAACCCGTTATTTTTAGTCTGCATTCTTCCTTTCTACTCTGCTCAGCCTAGTTAGATGGGGACAGGACCCAAACTCAACAACAAACTTAGGGGCCAAGCGGGAATCTCCCCAGTCCCACTCAAAAATGTTAACCACTGCACAATAATGACACGTGTAGCATGCAATTGTGTGTAAGGAAAAAAGTGGAGTGGGGGGAGAGAAGAAGGGATCAGAACTGATGCTATCTTATTTTACTGATTTGCTCATTTGTATTGGAGAAACTAACAACAATTTTGCTCATCTCAGCCAGTGCATTATCCCCCACTGCTCAGGAAATGACTATGCAACCCCAAAATAACATTCTCCCCCTAGGCAAATAGGACGCAACATTCACAGACTGATTTCCCTCTTGGTCCAAGCCTGGTTTCTATCAACGGCTCCTCAATAACCCAGGTAGTGTCTGAACGCCCCTTTTCAGTTAGGATACTCCCATGCTGGTTTGCCTGGGACAATTAGCATCCAAACTAAGGTTGTTTCTTTGAACTCAGAAAACAGGCACAGTGACTCACCTCTGCCTCTGCCTCCCATCCCAGCAGGCACAGGAGCCCTGCTGGGAGGGGGAAACAGGGCACTGGTTCACTCCTTTCAGTGCACAGACACTTACCTAAGATAACGAAGAGGCTGGATCGCCTTCTTGCTGTGAGTCGAATTGCAAGTGGGTTTCTCCATGGCAGAAAGAGAGGGAGGCTGGCTTTCCAAGTTTACACCTGGGGAGCCTGCTCCCCCCAGCCCCCAAAAGACCCTCGACAGCTTCCTCCCTTCTCTCCTTTAGGGCTGACAGGAGATGGAGAGAAGTAATGAGAAGAGATTAAATGAAATGGGCAGCGGTAAGAATTTCTTCCCGGCTGGCAGCTTCACCAATGTGGGCACCCCAGGAGCACAATGGCGCTTGATTGGCTGGCTCTTCCGAAGAAATCAAAGGGGGGGGGGAAAGCTTTGCAGTCACCCAATGGAAAAGCAGAGCTGAGGGGGGGTAGTTAACCCTTTTTGTTCTCAAAAGGGGGGGATTAGGGTGGCTTCTCTTCTGCATCCTCTGCTCTCTAACTCAGGCTGGCAAGGAAGATTTGGAAGAGAAGGTGGAGTGGCAGATGCCCAGGAGACCTCTAGTCTATGGGGTGGTCTTGGAAAGTTGCCCAGGTTTTTCAGACCATGACTTTGATGGAAATAAGATCAATCGCCACTCAGACCATTGCATTGGATCCTACGTTGGCCTAGGACGGTTTTCTTGGTTACCCAAATGGCATTTTGAGACATAAAGAATTGATAGGATTTTTTAATTGGGGGCTACCTGTAGCAAGAACCTAGGAAATGATCTGAATATCACCATAAGGTGGCAGATGTGCTACAAAACAGGTCTGAAAAATTGACCCCCCAAATGGAAATTTTTGATAATGTATTTTCTACTTCCCCTGGTTTAAACTTATTTATAGTAACAAAGGCATAATGTTTGTTTGAGTGTTCCACATTCTTAGACAATCTAATTAAACAGCCCTATATGTATTCTGCTTCTGTTCATATGCCACTGTATTGTTAATAAATAAATAGACGTTCTTTTATAACATCAACCTTTGTTATCATTATTATTGTTCTCGTTTCTGCTGATGAGTTTTTTTAACCAACTCGCTGCTTAATGAGAAGATTCATGAAAAAGAATAATGTAACAGTGCAATAGCGAGCAAAACAGGGGAAGCCAAGCAGCTGCCATCACACAGAGAAAGATTCAGGTCAACCCCCCCCCCATACACACAGACACCAAACTGCAAAAATCACCAAAAAGAGATATTATTACACATAATCCTCATGACTATAACTGTGCCCAGAATGAGTTGTAAGCCTTTGCAGTTGTAAGTTGAGGCATCATGTTACTACACCCATTATTTTTTTTTTTTACTTTTTTTTGTGGTGGTTGTTAAATGCAACCAGCCATAAAGATGAGCAAAATGCCCCAAATGCAATGATCATGGTTAGTGGTGGGGGGAATGTGGCAGCTATATAAGTTTGCATAAGTATTCTTCAGTCGGTATAAATCTGGAGGAAAATTAAGGTGACAACACAGCCCAGAGTTCACCTGGCTTATGTGACACCTAAGCAAATTTTCTATTTTCCTCTAACTTAGTTCACTTGCAAATTGTTTGCTGGTACAGCTGATAAACTTTTTTCTCCACTTCCACCATCTACAGGTATCCCTTATGTATTCTTTCCACTTAAAGTGCTTATCATCTTTCTTTTTCTTTCTCTTTCTCTCTCTCTCGCTCGCTTTCTAGAACAGAAACATATTTTTAAGGGCCAACCTGCATCAAAAGACAATCTGCAAAATTAAAAAAAGGATGAATGGCATCATAGGTCCATGCCAATCAGAGCTGGGCAGAACATGTTCCTGCTACAAACTATGTGGATTACTGTTTTCCCATGCTCAAAAAGTACAGGGGGGGGGGAAATGGTCCTCATAAATTAGGGCTCTTGTTCAGCAATACATCTGCTTTTATTCCAAACTGAGAAATCTGGTCCCTTGCTTCTCTAAAATTCAATGAATGGGACACTGTCAGTCAGTTCCTACAACATGTTGCGGACTAGGGCTTTAAAAAGGAGGGGGGATTTCCTAAAATAGAAAGGTGAGGGTAATAAACAGCACTGAAGGATTTTATTCAGAAAAATCTCAACTCTGTCTGAACAAGCAGTGCTTGCAAACGTGTTCTTCCCAGCTGAATCCCAGCTCGGAGGAAACACAGACGGTGAGTCGCTACCCATGGAGAAAGAATTGTGAATGGAGAGTGACTCCTGGTGGAAGGAAACAAGATGATTTGCACACAAGAAAAGCTTTAGAAATAATTTCTTTGAAATAGTCAGAATGTGTGGATGTCAGCTTCCAGAATTCCCCCATCAGTTGCAGCCTCTTGCTATCTGTGTATGTAGGCAGTTTGCAAAAGGTGTCAGGATATACATGGGTGGAGAGGAGTAGAGTAGGAATAGGAAGAAGAAGAAGAAGAAGAAGAAGAAGAAGAAGAAGAAGAAGAAGAAGAAGAAGAAGAAGAAGAAGAAGAAGAAGAAGAAGAAGAAGAAGGAAGAAGAAGAAGAAGAAGAAGAAGGAAGAAGAAGAAGAAGAAGAAGAAGAAGAAGAAGAAGAAGAAGAAGAAGAAGAAGAAGAAGAAGAAGAAGAAGAAGAAGAAGAAGAAGAAAGCTGGAAGGGACCTTGGAGGTCTTCTAGTCCAGCCCCCTGCTCAAGCAGGAGAACCTATACCATTTCAGACAAGTGACTGTCTAGTCTCTTCTTAAAAACTTCCAGTGATGGAGCGCCCACGATTTCTGAAGGCAAGCTGTTCCCCTGGTTATTTGTCAATCTTTCATGTTCTTTATCAGAGACTTGCTCTGCATAAAAACTATTTTAGCGATCTGCCTTTACTGTTGCGAAACTTTTGTAATCTGTGCCCATTTCAATCACTTCTTCCGGAGTCTGCAGGAAACAAAGATGGCCTGTACAAATCAGCCATCTGTGTTGTCTAGTTCCAGACAGGACCAAGATAAGCTCCCCTACAAGATCACAAACATCCACAAAGAACATCTGTTAGAACACCTTAAGGGAATACACATGTGTAAGCGGGTAAAGTTTTGCTTCTTCTTCAACGTGTGATTTCATCAGTTAAATGTAGTGAAAACTACATCCTCCAGAAACTGGAGTTTCTGCATTTATTCCATAACCTATAAATAGACAAGCTATTTTCTATTATCTTGATTTAACTGTCTACAGTACATAATTGTCGGAGCCTGTTCTGATCCCTAATGCATTAAATAATACACCTTGCTGCAATTACAATTTCTTTTTGTTTTTTATTATTTTCTTCTTGGATTAAATTCCTTGATGCTGATGTATACAAGCAGGAACTATCAGGGTCACCATTTGTGCAGAATAATCTACATCTGTACCAACAGGTATAGGATTAGCCCCCATTTATCCTAGATTTTCTCTATCTTCACATATTATGCTAACCCATCAAGTTCCTTGAGTTCCAAACAAGATTGTATTGTACTGTACATCTTAGTGTTATCTGTAAATAAGATCCATTATAGTTTGCCTAATATACCCTGGCTAAAAGAAATCATAGTTTTGCCTAACACATGAACCTAACCATTCCTTCAGTGTTTGAGAGTTGACACTCTGAATTAGAAAAAGGTGTGGAAAGTATTTCCAGATCCTGAATTCAGGAATTGCTTTTCAAGATCTCTAGGGTAGGAATGGCTGTAGGAATGGTAAGCAAATTCTGTCGCACCACACTGTGGTCCAACCAAACTCTTGGGTGCTTTTGAATATCAAGTCTAAATTGTCTCCTAACAATTACATACAGTCATTGTCAAGTTTTCTTGTTGTAAAGTAAATGATGGCATGGTATAATATGTCATGCGTTGTTGTTCATCCGAGGTTGTATCTACCTACTTTTAAGAACTAAGGACCAGATGATTTTGACTGTATCCTGATACGTAAAATCATAGACCTCAAAGAGGGTGTACTTTCTTTTTCATAGGACTGAAGATAGGATAATTTATTCCCAATTTGTCCTTCAGGTCTTCCAGTAGTGCATTCACTATCCCCATAATCAGTTTGCATTCCCCCTTGCTGCTGGTTATCCTCTTCTTTCCATCGTTTTTCTCAATACTATAGGCCAGTGGTGGCGAACCTATGGCACAGGTGCCAGAGGGGGCACGCGTGCCGTCGCCCCAGTCCTAGGCCTTCAGCTGGGTTTTATAAAACCTTTTTGCTTTAGGCCTCCACCGCCAGGTGCAAAAAAAAAAAAAGGTTCAATCAGTCAATTTCAACTTCTCCTGGGGAAAAAAAAAGATCTTGCAAAGTTGGAATTGATTGATTGAACTTTTTAGTCCCACCCAGTCTGCTGTTACCACTGCAGCCACGCCCACCCAATGGACCACACCCACCCGGCACCCGACGATGCATAAGTGGATTTTGGGTTGCAGTTTGGGCACTTGGTCTCTAAAAGGTTCGCCATCACTGCTCTAGGCTTCTCCAGAGATCTAGGTCTTTGCATAATGTGTCTGAAGTAGAACAATTTTATGTCTGGTCATTTGTGCCTCTAAGTGAGAATTCTGAGTTGATTTGTTCAATGATTTGTTTTCATGGCTGTCCATGATATTCTCAGGAGACTTCTCCAACACCAAAGTTTAAGTGTGTCTACATTTTTCCTAAAAATAAGGATATGATTATGCCGGGGTCCAATCCAGGCTTCGCTGAATAAAACTCTTGACCACTATCAAAACCTAATTATTCCATATTTCCTTACCACACATGCCCCCAAATAGTTAAAATGGGTCAAAAGCATTTCCTCAGCTCTAGATATCCCTCTATATTAACAATTCCACCAAGCGTACTACGTCAGTACAGGATTTCTTTCAAAGAAATATTCTAGCTTCTGAGGTCTCGTGGGTGTTAGTATATTCAAAAGCATTGGATAACATCTGCTGAATCGCTCAGAAGACAGTCTTTGAAGTAAAGAGAAAGTTTACAGAAAAGATAAGTTATCATGACAAATTCCAGATGAGGCCCTCATATAACTGGGTCCCCATATTATTGTACAAAGTGCCCTTTCATCTTCTCTTTAGTTAGTAAAGCACAGCAACAACACTGCATTCGTAACAAGCTACTTTAGTAAACGAAAAAAAGTCAAAGAATAAGCATTGGGGAATACAATCTATTTTGAGGGTAAGGTAGAATGAAGCGCTGATGGAATAAAGATAAGCAATGAGGCACCGGGGAGGAAGAAGAAGGGACTGCTCAGGAACTAGTTGAGTTCCCAGTTGGTACTGTTGAACCCTGTAATTTTCATAGCCTCCTTACAGAATAAAAGAATAACAGAA